TCAATGACCTCACTTCCCAAGATCTCTTCTAAATTTTTGGCAGTTAACACTGCATTCTTATTCCTCTAGTTAAATTGTCTTCTCAGTCAACCAGTAACCTCAACTAATCCCCTGGCATTATCCTTGATTCCACACAGCAGTTGAAAATGTTGGCCATTTTCTCTTTAATTCTGATTTTTCTCCTGACCTCTCAAATGCTTTTCCCCCGTGTGGCCTCCCTCCTCCTCCTGGCCCATGATTGTGGACACCTCTAGGCTCGGCTCCCAGATACTCCTCTACTCAGAAAGTCCCAGGGATGATATCATCGAGAATGACCTGGCGTGCAAAGGTCAGCTCTGACTTCCTCCTTGGCTGGGTCCACACTGCCACTTGGCTTGTAAGATTTCAGGAGTCCGGTTCTCCCTGGTGTGTTTCTCACCACCTTCCATACACGCCTTGAGAGGTATTGTCACTGCATCTCTCTGTATCTTTGCTCATAAAGTTTCCTCAATTAGGAATGTTCTTGCTTCTGCTTATCTCAACCTAATTTTTCCTTCAAGTTTTAGCCAAGTTCAAACGTCTGACGTCTTTTCCATAAGCTGAAGTAAAAACTAATCTTTCTCCCTCTGATTGTTCATGTATTAATGTCTGTACTTCTATTCTTTATTTAATTGTTCACAGTTTTACATTTTGTTTCTTCAACAGATCTGCAAACTCCTCTGGGGGTGGGGGAAGGTAGGCTTCTCTGGATACCTCCAATGCTTACTACAGATGTTAGCTAATAAACACCCGTTCAACTGCATTCAAAGGAGATGTGGGTTCTGTATGTTGGTATAATAAGCTTGAATACCAACTCTCTCTACAGAGATCTCATGTTCACTTATTTACAATGAAAAAAAAAAATCTTGAATATCATAGTCCTAAAAACTCTTGAGTTGTCAAAGTGCCTTCAAATCTGCAGGTTTTTCTTATCTTGGGAGAAAAACAAAACAGAAGATTTTCTTGGAATCTGCCATTCCACTATAATTACTGTCCAAACTTTTAAGGAATTTCTGTAATTTCCTTATCAACACTCCCTCCCCTGCAAACTCCCCATAGCATGCTTTGTGCTCCAACTACTAAAGGCAGGTCTTTTCTCAGGCCACATCCTTTCTTGCACCTCTGCTGTGTGTCAAATGTTGCATCCCTCTGCAGTGCTTTCTGATCTTGTAAGTTCATTTATGCAGAAGGAATCCATTGCTGTGCTTTCTGGCTTGGATTGTGGTGACACAACAAAAGCACTGGTCTGGACATCAAGGGACTCAGATTTCTCACTGATCTAAAGCTTGGCTTAGTTTCCTTGGATATACATTTCTGTTTCTCTGCGCGTTCTCTTCATTTATAAAATAAGTAGGTTGCATTTAAATGTTCCTCAATCATTTTTTACTGTGATCTACACTTTACATTGCGACCTAGTGTGTGTGTGTATACATTTACAAAATGCTATGTATATGTATACATACACATTCACATACACAAAATGATTTGCTACTTATTTTTACTACATGAGATATATTATACAATATTTATACATTCACTTATATTTTATTTTTTCAGAAATTATGGTTGCAATCCACTAAAAACATTTCAAGACCAAAACATGGGTAGTTATTCATTATTTATAAAAACACTGAGCTTAGGTGGGTATAGTGGCATATGCCTGTAATCCCAGTGGTTCAGGAGCCTGAGGCAGGAGGATCACAAGTTCAAAGCCAGCCTCAGTAACTTAGTGAGGCTCTGTCTCAAAATAAAACATAAAAAGGGCTGAGGATGTAGCTCAGTGATTAAGTTCAACGCCCCCCCCCAAAAAAAAACAAAACAAAAAACACTGAACTTGTCAATATATAAGGTTCCTTCTAGTAATAATATGAGAGGATTCTATGGTGCAACCTTCCAACCTTTCTGATGCTAAAGGTTGAACCTTTAGCCTCAACTCTCACCGGCATTCTAGTTTTATATTTCTCTCTGAAAGAGAGTTTTCATTCAGATATCCTAATATCACTTAAATTCAACATAGATAACACGGAATTTGAAACACTAAGTCCTCCTCCCATCAACTATTTGTGTTAGTAGCAAGTGCAAAACCTTAAATACAACTCTTGGCCTGATAATAGCAGAGCAGCTTTCACCATACTTCTTCTACTGACAACTATTAAAAAAAATCTGGACAAGAGAGTAAAACAATAATTGTATGCAGACATTAAAAAGCAACCAAAAGCAAACAGAAACTGGAGAAACATGACTAAACACAAGAAGAGGAAATTAGATGAGATCCATATTTATTCAATTTTGTCCCCAGGATAATCCCTAGTCTTTTAGCATATAGGGGAATAAAGTAATAATAAAGAATAGAGCCCAAAATGGAAATCTGACCTGATTGAGGAACCAGAGATTTAAGTCTGGGGTTCTGAAGGGGCAAGATATGAAGGGGGAATCCTGGAAAAGGGGAAGCCACACAAAGGAGAATCCCAAAACTTGTGTAAAAATTCCCCACGGATCCTTGCATTGAACTATGCATGTTATGAGACTCCAAGGAACAGTAACAGAAAGTAACAACTGGAGCAGAAGAGTCAGCAACCAACAGGTGCTGGGAAGACAGATCTAATATTTGAGACCCTCCAAGTTAGGAGGTTTGATCAACATTTCCAGTTTTCCACTAAAACCTTAGAAAAGCCCCATCTTAGGATTATGGACCACCTCCTAGGACTAGGAGTCCACCACCTAGTCCTAAGGGCAAAATCATAACAGACCTGCCCTACAAACCCAAAACAGAGGCCTCCAGAGGAGAAAGAACTGAAAAGTCAGGCGAAGGAAAGTGGAAAGACCTGGTTTCTGGCCTGGGAGCAGCCACTAAGACCCTTGTTTCTCCAATGGGTTTGGGGTATAGTGGGGGAAAATGGAGAGGAGAAAGGAAGAAAGAGATGGAGTGTTGCATTCAGATCTCAAAGTTGATGTGTTTACAAGTCCAAGGGCAGATGTCCAATGGGGAGCTGTGACTATCGGTCTGAATCTCAGGGAACAGGGGACCATGGAGTGACAGTCTGGTGGGGCCACTTGTAAAGGAGAAGGGAGGAGGGTAGATGAAACACAAAGAAATGGTAGTTCTGAGCACCTTCTGTGTTCCAGACATGGAAGTGCTGTATTTCTCTTATTTCACTGTGAGACAGGAATTATTTTCATTTTTACCGGCAGGAATCTGAAGCTCAGAGAGGTTAAGTGATTTGCTCAAAGTTCCACCATTAGTAAATGGGGAGACCTATATTTGAACTCAAAGCAGAACCACTCCAATGCTTGTTTCCTTTCTGAAATACTTGGTAAGGGCCACTGACTGTACTCTAAGACAGCTGTTGGAAACCTAGAAAGCAGAAGCATTTCTAGTAAATATGAATTTTTTTTTTTTTTTTTTACTGGTCAGAGAGGATATCAGGGAGGCATAAAAGGAGTGCCAAATATAAATAATATTTTCAAAAGTTAAATTCTCAAATACAAAGAAAGACAACTATAAAAATAGAAATGATGTAAGGTGGAACTGAGTTGGTTTCAGAGAGATCAGAGGGCACATTACAACACTCCAGCGAGAAGGGCTTGACTCTGTTAAATCAAACAGAATAGAAACACTTGATTACAGTTAGGAGGCTAAATACAATAAGGAACTTAAGAGAGGGAGCAAAGTCCACTGAAGGAATAGATGTGGGGGAAAGGGAGGGAAACCATGCAAATACCAACACAGGGAATCACAGAATCAGATTTTTTTTTTTTTAAAGTTGGAAGGAATTTAGAGTCACCCAATCCCTATCATTTCAGAGAGAAAATGCACTTAGAAGGAAAAAAAAAAAAAATGAACTAGCTGCTAAATACCTCAACCTCTCAAAAAAAGTCAGTTTGGTTTCATTTTTTCTTTGTAATTGCAGGTAGAGAGCCTGCTTTGTCCAGAATGGTGCTGTGGAAATTGGAGTTAAATTGAGCCCATGTTGGATGATTACCAGATAAACCACTGGCAGTTACAGGATCATACTGGGACTTACCCTTTTGGTCTTTGATAGCCCCTAGTACAAGTTTAACCAGCCAGACTCTTCCAAAGGAGACTCAGATGAGAAAGTTTCCATTTGGGAGGAGGGTGTGAAAATATTGCAGATCATCCACCTTCTCCAGCTCTAATTAACCTCATCCTCTGGTCATGACTGGTACTCCCCTAACCTGGTCAGAGCCAGACAGGCTGCTTGGCATGAGGAGAATACATAATATGAAAAAAAAGTTCAGGAAAGAGTCCAGAAGTTACAAAACAATACAGCAAAAATAAAGTTCATTTCTTAACCTAAGAAAACACAATGGCAAGAAAGAATCTGTTCATGATCAAAGATTCTTATTTTACACATAACTTAGCAAAGTCTCAGTGAGATGAAATGATTTGAATACCTAATATGTACAAAGCACTATAAAAAATGGAAATGATCTGAATTCCACCAGAATTTTAGTGTCCATTATCATTTAAGACTCCAGAATGCCAAGGAATGAACACTCTATACAGAAGTCAAATCTTTTTTTTCCCCCCACTAATGTCTAAAAAAGTATAGAGACTGAGAGAAAGAAGCATGACAGGACAATAAATTTCAGCTTGGTGCCCTGACAATGAACTTGCTGTCTCCACAAGACAAACAAAAATATTATGGTACGAATGGAAAGAGGTTTCAGATTAGAGACAGTTGACAAAACCAAGAGTAAAGGAAAGTTCCCATGAGATCTGTGTCTCGTTTTGAAAGCCACACTGCACGTTTATGGCACTACACATACTCTTGCTCCATAAAATGCCTCACATAGGAATCACATCTCAAAGGTTGTTCTTATGCAAGATACACTAGGTAAGAACTTGGGGGGCAAATTCCTTGAGTACACCAGAGCTCCCTGGACCTGGTACAAGTACCCTTCCCATCTATTTTCATGCCTTATCCTTTATCCTGTCAGAAGCATGGCTGAGTTCCTACCTTGGGGATTCTTCCTGTTCTGCACAAACTCTGAGCGCCTCAGGGTGCTGGGTGCAGTACGGCGGAAGCAACTATTCCTCCTCCAAGTCTCTGTTAATGTTCTCTCTTCCTCTGAGTACCAGGTGTCCTTCTCTAATGAAGGGCTCTGAGGAATCCCAAAATGATTTTCTCCTTGTTCTCCCCTAGGATATTGATTCTGCAGACCATCTGGGATGATCCCTCTGTCCCTAAGTGCCATGTTTCCTGGTCTGTTGATGCCATTATACTTCAAATTATCTACTTGATGGAGAGAATCTTTTTCTCTATAATTAAGAGATTTATGCTCACAGTTTGCAAAAACAGTATCATAGCCTTTATTTTCTGTATCAGAATTACCCTGATCCATGGTATGAGCCTTTGCATTGGGATAGATTTTATCATTTTGATAAACATTCCTGTCCTCTTCATGGTATGTAACAAATTCTTTACCTCCATTGACATTCAAATCTGGTAAATCCATACACTGACCATTAATAGAACACCTAGGAACATGATACAAATTGTTGAGATCTCTATAGTGCAAGTTAGTATCTTTATAATCCTCAAGACTACAATTAAAATTCCTTAGGCTCATATACCAGTTTTGAGGTTGATATAAATTCCCCAAAGAATCATCCAAATTCCTATAACTGGCCCTCTGTTCAGTTCTTTTTAAGTTCTCAGGATTATAATTCAGATCCTTACAATCAATGTAGCCATTTGTCTTCTCATATCCTCGTGCTTTCCGGATTATCTCTGGGCTTCCTGAAAGCCAATTATCCTTCATCCCAGGCCTTACATTCTCATAATTCACATTTTCTGGATTCCTACAATCATCATCACATCCTCCTTGGAGCACACAGTCCTTTCCAATTTCATTTGCTTTCCCATAGTCCATGTAATTTGGTTCACTCTGCTCAAAATCCCAATATCCACAGTCCCTTTTTCTGTAGGGCCGATTCCTCCCCTTGGACGGGTATGTGGAGTCCAAGCCATTTTCTGCATAAAGTCCATCCTGCACCCTCAGGTTCCTCTTCCGGAGACTCCTGCAATCTTCATATTCCCAGCGGGAGCCCGGGGGCCCTTTCTTCTCCACTTCTCTTTCTTTTTTAATCACGAGAGTTTCACTCATATTTAATACAGACACGAGTTTTACTTCTCTTTGCCATGGGCTCTGGCTGGGCTGAAACACCAACAGGTGCAGTCTAGCCTCAGGCTGGGTCTGACTTGCTTAAAATGTCTCCCAAAGCACCTGAGACACTCTTCCTGTTGCTCTGGTTGGAGCGTGGAGAGAATGTGAAGTCATTTCAACTTCAAGATCCAATCAGTGAGCTACTATATCTTTCCCTCAAAGGCCAGAAGATAATTAGTAACCAGAGTTCATGTGATTGGAGTTGGCAGGCCTGTTGGTGTTTCCCTCAAGCCGGTCAGACTGGCTCGGCTGCTTCATGTGCTGAAGATAGAAGTATTCTGCTACCCTAAAGGTTTTACAGAAAAAGCAGTGTGAAAGAGAAAGAGCCCCACTTGAAAGCCCCAGCTAGGGTCATATATCAGCCTGCCTCTTTAATCCTTTAGTAAGCCCCTAGGTGTATAAACAAATGCTTGCATGTACAGCCGAAAGTGCACTCCATTCCCTGTCCTCCAAGTCCAGCTTTCCAAACCATGGCCTCTGAATCTCTTTAGGACTCCCTTCTCTTCCCTTTCCTTTACTTAGAGGATGAACACTCCCTCCTTTGAGAGTTCTGTCTCAATGGGATTCAAATTACAAGATACTGTCACTCAAATCACAAGACTTTCAGGCTTCCACTGCCTGAGCCAGCCCACTGAAGGAGGAAAAGGTACTTTTTTTCACTCATCTATGGTGTGTGGGTAATTCTGTGTTATAAAGACTCTTGTCCAGAAGAAGAGAGTTATATATGCTTTCACATTTTCATGTCAGAGAAGCATCAAAGCCATTCGTTTCCTAACTTTCCTTCCTATCCAATTCATACTGAATATTTAGGAACTGGAGAAGAAGCTAGAAATTGTAGAGGCTTGTAGTAAAATGCTGAATTAAATTCAACAAACATTAAATAGATACCTATTATACATGAGGCACTGTGGAAGAGAAAAAGGTGAAGCTAACTCCTGCCCTGTACGACAGCAGGAGCCACACACTATTCAGTGATATCACATGGGGTACATGCTGTGTGACAAGCAAAAGCTGCATGACAACAAAGCAAATTCCCTGGTGTGGCAAGGAAGAGAGGTGGAGGTGGTGGCATCTGAATAGTTCTTTTGGGAATAAGCAAGAAACTTTCTATGCAGGAAGAAGTAAGAAGTGCCGAATAAGGTTTAAAGGAGAGTATATATGGGAAAAATAAATAAGCTGAGGGGCCAGATCCCAAGGGATTTGAATGCCATTCGATTTATTCAGGGGAAAATGAAGAGTCTTTGAAGGTTTCTGATAGGCTAATAACACCACAAGAGACAGGCTTTAATTAGACTGCTTTTTAAAGCTGTGTTGTCATTTATTGAATGCCCAGAAATGACTCCTTGAACCTTCACCTAATTCCTATTTGTCCATAATTAGACGTCTGCTCTGCTACTTGCAAACTATGTAGTCTCTCTGGGACTCAACCAACCTATCCCTAAGATGAGGCAGTAGCCTCAGTGACTTGTCTGATCCCTCTAGCTTTAATAATCCATAGATCTCTATTCCTCACAACTTCTTTTTTCTTTTCTTCCAATACCTGAAGTACTTGTGTGCACCTTCTGGGTTCTACACTGACAGTGATAATCTCTAGAATGTCAAAACTTCTGATGTCCTCCTGAGACTTTCACCCACCTGTAGGTTCTCTTGTGCCTTCCAAACCAGCAGCAGCAACAGCAGCGGCAGCAACAGCACCAGCAGTGACAGCGCCACAGTTCCTAATGTTCCAGCAAGCACTATGTGCTATGACTGGTGATACGAAGTTGATATAAATTTTCCTTTTGATTTTCACTATTACGCAAGGTGGGCACGTAATTATTCTTATTTTTCCACAGACAAAAAAAAAAATAGTCTGGGAGACACATTAACAGTACACAGTGTGGCCATGATTTGAACCTAGATTCATTTGACTTCATGACACTTGACAAAGAGAACTACCTTTAGAGGTAGTAACCCTTTAATCTCCCTCAAACCAATTAAACCAACAAATAAACCCTACCCTGGTCTAATGCAGAAGAGGATCACTATGTAGTAAATGATGGGCCCCCACCTACACTATCCTTCTATCTTGTCTCTGCTCCTGCTCTACTACCCACCCCTCCCCATTCAGGCCCAGTCCTCACTATCAACACATGAGCATGCAGACCCACACAGGAACATTGTCCAGTACTGACTGAATGGCTCAGTAATCTATCACCTATCACCTGAACCCAATAAAGACTGTGATCTAGTTTACTAAGCCAATAGGAGGCTGACATTATTTGGAAAGACAACTTTAACCTTGAATTATAATAGAGCAACAGAACAACCTACAAAGAACCTATGAGATGAGGTATGAGGATACCCAGCTTCTAGAAGTTAAATTTCTGCTTATCAGTATGAGCTATGCTTATTTTCTCTGGTTTTCCATTTTCTTATGTGTAAAATGAAGAAGATAATGGTTTCTCTGCTACTTTAAATCTACAATTTTATGGTCTATTCCAAATCCAATTAAAAACAAAGACTAGTCTTTCCTTAACTGTTATGGATAATAAAATTCTCCTTAGCAACTTATTATCTTTGATAAACTAACATGGTAAGAAAAATATACCAAATAACCTGGTGAAGAGAAAGGATTAAAAAAGAGAATTAAATTATAGGTAAGAAGAACACTACTTATAAATGATCCAAAAGAGGTGGTGTGGAGCCAAAAGAAATCGTTGTTAGATAAGCGGAGTGAATAGCTGGTTATATTATGGGGGCTCTCTCTGCTTCTCCTTTTCTAAGTCTTATTACCTTTAGGGCCTTAAAGATGCATCCCTGGATTCAGGTCCTAGTACCAGACAAACAACAACAAAAATCCTAAACAACCCTATGAACGGGTTGCTATTTTTGAGTAATAAATCTTTATACAAAGCAATGGTGGCCGAGAGAAGGAGAGAATAAATTTTTCCTTTTCCTGGTGCCAGGATTGCTGGTGAAATGCAATCTTTCCCAGCTTTCCCATTCTCTTCACACAAGGGAAAGGCTCTTTTCAACAGTCCCAAGCAGCATCCTGCCCAGGGTGCTTGTCATTTGCCACTAGAGGGCAGGTTATCAGCCAGTGACTATGTGGTGATTCCCAGTGTGGGTAGGTCCTGCCATGTGGTCTACAAGTGAAGATGGGGCAGCAGGTTTGGAAAGAGAGAGAAAAGATGGAGAGGCATAAAAAGAGTAAAAGAAGAAATGGAGGAGATTGAAAATGACATCAAAAAACTAGCAAGAACAGTAGTTCTTGAACATTTGTAAATTACTTGGTGCTGTTCCTCCAGGCTGAAGGTCAGCTCCTCATTTCCTAAGACTGCCTAGTGACACTCTCATTCCTGCAGTTCTTGCTGTTTTCTAGGGAACCTGCAAATACTTCTCATTTTTACCTATACTATTTAGTTCATTGTATTTGCTCATCTCCTTTTAGTGTAATGAAAAGTCCTGGAGGACAAGGACCAGCACACCTCTGTAGCTGGGATACACAGTAGGTACTTAATGTTTAATGAATCAATGCTTGGAGCATTAATTTTGTACATTCTAGATACTAGGTAGAGGGCAGTGTCCCTGGGAGAGTAAGACCACAGACTTTGAAAGTCCTGGACTTGAATCCTGACTTTGCCACTCACTCCCTATATAATCCTGGGGAAGTTACTTAATCTCTTTACCTTTTCAATATTAAATCTGCCATGCTACCCCAATCTGTCCCCTAGCTGTCTCCCTGCTTCCATCTGATCTGGAGGAACTAGCTCTGTTCTGCTCCCAGGCCCATCTCTCTGCTGTTCTCTGCACCCCACCCCTGCTGGCCCTCACACACTATGCTCCAAGAGTTAGGCCCCTTTCTCATGCATCTTGAACATACCCACCCTAGTGGATCAGTCCCTGGAGCCTAGGAACACAGGGCAATGTTTTCCATCTTATAAACTTCCACTAGCCCCTTAATCTAATGTCCCTTCCAGTCACCACCCCATTTCTCTGCTTTCTTTTATAGTGAAACTCTGAGAAAGATTTTTGAGCAAGTAAAATATTAAATGCCTCTACTTATTACCTCTCATTCTCTTTTGAATCCATTCCAATAGGGCTCTCATCCCATTCAGTAAAACTGCTCTGACAAGGTCACCAAACTCAATGATCGTTTCTAGGCTTCGTCTTACTTGGCCTCTCAGCTGTAACGGAATCACTTGCTTTCCTTCTCCTTGTCTGGCTGCTCCTTCTCCTTTACTGGCTCATCTCCCTGATCTTCCACACTCCTAAACACTGGAATGCCCCAGGGCTGGATTCTGGATAAAATTCTCCTATAGCCCAAATTACCTAGCACACAATAGGAATTCAAGAAAAATCTGTAGATGTGGCTTGGAAGGGGGCTTCTACTCAGTTCAATGCAGCTGCTGCTCAGCCTAAGAAGGAATGGGGGCGGTAAGAGGGGGTTCTTAAAGAAGAACCCACCTCATGGCTAATGTTGCTCCTAGAATGACAACAGCACCACAGCCCCTGGAAATGAGAGAGGAGAAAGGCACCTGAGATCCAAAGACAAGTTCCTCAATAGAGGAAGAGTCTAAGTGCTGGTGAAAAGGGAGGACTGGCTGGAAAGAGAGATGATGGAAACAGAGAAAGAGACTAGGGTGCTGTGCAAGGAAATAAAAGGGCTAAAATATAGAAAAACAAGAGGTATTTGGGGGAAATCTGATGTATTCTAAGGGTGAATGTTCTACATGGGACAGGACTGTAAGAAGAGTTCAGGAAGTATTAGAGCTTAAGATGGATTTAGGGGCTACAAGTCAAGGGAAGTTTCAACTCGAGAAACAAACCTGAGCAGCTCGTGGGTATCACTGGCATGAATGGGGGAACATTTTGGAAAACTTCAGGATGAGCTAGCAGTTAAAAGTATATCTGCACCAGTCATGGTGGTGCACCCCTATAATCCTAGCGGTTTGGGAAGCTGAAGCAGGAGGATCGAGAGTTCAAAACCAGCCTCAGCAACTTAGCGAGGCCCTAAGCAACTCAGCAAGATCCCATCTCTAAATAAAATATTAAAAAAGGGTTGTGGGTGGCTCATTGGTTAAGTGCTCCTGGGTTCAATACCCAGTACCAAAAAAAGACTATATCTGCAAGGAAGGATTAAATACTCTAAACAAAAATCAACACATACATAAATGCTTTTATGCCCATGAATATATTGAATCTAGCAAGCAGCTTTCAACAGAAGAGAGTATTAAAATATGTTATGATGGCATAAGTTAGTTTGAAAGTTGGCAAGAGTTCCTTGGGATCCCCTGAGCACCTACAGTGTGATACAGTAAAATTGAACATAACACTGTGCAAAGAAACAGAACCAGATTGGAATCTGAGTCTTACCACTTATCACTGAAACTTAACAGCAAATCTCAGTTTTCTCATCATGCTCTCAATTACCAAAGTCATATCTCCATTCCTAACCTGTCCCCTGAACTCTGGTTGCTGTGTCACACTGCCCAATCAATATTTCAACCTGGATGCCTTATGGCAACTCAATTTAATCAAACTAACTCCTGACTCTGCCCTAGGACCCTCTCCACCAACCAGCTCCTCCTGTAGCCTTCACCACCTTGATTAATGGCAACTCCTATCCTTCCAGGTGCTCAACCTCAGGGTTGTCCTTTGCTTTTTTCGTTCTTTTATATCTCACATTTAATCCACTAGTAAGTCCCTTCAGCTCTAACTCAAAGTACATCTCAATCTGAGCACCTCCCATCCCTGCTGCTACCAACCTGGTCCGAGCTTCTGTCTGAATGGCTGCACTGGCCTCCTAACTGGTCTCTCTGCCTCTGCCCAGGGTCTCTTCTCTCAATATGGCAGCCAGCATGCCTCGGTTAAGTTGTGAGATCATACTACCCCTGCTCAAAACACTCCGACAGCTTCTCTTAATGTGAATTGTGAATGACCATGCCCGTTCTGTTCTGGCTGACCTGCACTCTGTGCTGTTCCTCAAACACTAAGCACACTCTCATACTCACTGTCCTATCTTCCTGGAACAATTCTCCTTCATCCCCCCAGATAGCTTAGCCGGCTCCAGACCCTCTCACCTGCCTTCTCACTTAAATGTCACTTTCCAGATGGTCTTCTCTGATTTCTTTTCTCTATAATAGATTTCTTTTCTTCATAATAATAAATGCTTGTGACTGAAGGTCTCAGGTTAACTGAAATTCTTTTACTGTGTACTTCAAAGCCTCAGTGAAATCTGAACTGACACTTGGAGTGCCTGGATGACTCCAGCTCTCTCCCCTGTGCCTGAAACTGAGGCTGAGGAATTGTTCATAAAGCCATACCATGAACTGCTAAGAACAGTGACTCATGGGTCAATTACAACTCAGCCATTCTAAGCTACATTTCTTGACATGTATTAAATCTAAAAGGAAAAATGGGTTACTGTTTTGAATTAACATAGCCTATTAACAGGTTTTGATGACAGTGGTTATTTTATATGAGGAATAAAATCCATTAGAAGTAACTGAGCTCATTTGTACTGAGCCAATGCCTTGAACCAGATGCACAAGTCAAGGGTGCTTTTATTTATTTTTTTTATGTTATGACAAACTAAAAAAAAAATATTATTTCCTTTATATAAATTATTATCATCTTAAAAGACCCCAAATTGATTTAGCTACTTGCTAGTTTGGGAAAGAATTCTGAGGTATTCCAAAGAGTCGTCAAAATGACAAATTGCTTTTGTATATAGAAAAACTACAATTTCAATTTTTATAAATCTGCCTAGAATGTTATATATCAGGTTTCTGTAAAGATGTTGTGATCCCCTATCAATAATCCTCCAATTTGATAATCTACTGACCCTTTTTATTTATTTTATTTTTATTTTATTTTATTTTTTTTAGAGAGAGAGAGAGAAAGAGAGAGAGAATTTTTTTAATATTTATTTTTTAGTTTTTGGCGGATACAACATCTTTGTT